AGTCTATTTTACACACCACTGTCTCTTTCCAAATGTGCAATGGCATCTTGAAATCTAAAAGGACAATGCAAAATTAGGACAGTATTTTATTCAGATCCAGACAGTGGATTTCAAAGCTGATATTTTACCCTCCCTATATATATACAAAGTTGGAATTCTAAGCACATAGGAAGGGCAGAACAGTGTAAATGGGAGCAGCCATGTGGGACAGAATTTTGCCGTGAAGGTGCATATCATCTAGGTGCCTAGGGTGGGAGGTCTATCTGGATGAGAGGAACATTGCAATTATACCCTCTGAGATGAATTAACAGAAATCTGCTCTATACTTGTACAAGACTTGTAATGCTGTGATCTACCAGAGTTGTAGGGTAGTTAATCTGAGACAGAGATTTTATAAAGGTGCTAACTGCTGTTTCATCATGCCCCGGGGGTGTTTCATTTTCATACAAGGACTTGTTTGGAGAAATGCTGCGTGAGCCTTTAAAACAGATTGCCTGCTGTCAAAAGGACTATTTGAACAGTCATAATGGTTCCTTTATGCAATATTTTGGAAAAACAGTAACTTAAAACTGCGCTTTTTAAAAACTCCAAGTAGTTGGAATCCTAGAAAACCTGAGTAAATCTGAGAAGCTCCTTTCCCTTATTCTGAATTATGACAATTTTGGGAAGGAAAAAGGAGCAAAGTTATTCGAAAGAAACTGAATTTATACATCTTTAATATGAGTGTCACGTTCAAAAAGCATTTCCGGTTTTCTTCATGTCACAATGCTAGTGTATTCCTTTTCGTTTAAGCAGAGAGCGTCTGTTTTCCAGAAAGGGACAAATACAAGAACAAAATACGATATGCTTATGAAGGAGGAAAGTTGCATATTTCTTCCGGGGACATTCATTTTACTTCACTTTGGACTGTTGGAAAAGGTGACTGGGAAAGACACTGTTCGCTCAGCAGCCATGCCAACTTGTACAGCAGTTTGGCCAGAACTGACAAATCAAACAAAGGTCTGACTCCAGACACAGTGACTCCTGGCAACATCTAGATACCGTAGAAAGTTATTTCTGGCAATTCAATTGATTGCACTCTTTCTTTTCAGTCAGTACCTGATTGCCAGAAGCTGGGACCAGACGACAGGAGCTGGATCACTCAATAATTGCCCTGTTCTGTTCATTCCCTCTGAAGCATCTGGAACTCGCCACTGTCAGAAGACCGGATACTGGGATAGATGGACTATTGGTCTAACCCAGTATGGCCATTCTTTTGTTCTTACAATACTACAATATTGTAATAGGGGATATTGTGCTGCTGGAGAAGGTGCCACTGTATGGATGAGATGGAAACCAGAGGGCCCGACTGCTTGTGTTCAATAAAGCTCCCAAGGCATTCAAGTTTCAGAGGTTTAGCTTTAGTGTCCTAGCTAAATATTAATTTGTGTCATTCTCTTTTCTACTGATATACAATCTTCCCCGTCTCCCCCCCCCCCCCTTGAGTTTTAGCTAAATAAGATATGCCTCACCTTGTCTGTTTCTCATGGCTGTGTGCTGTTAAGACTCCATCTGTGAGGTATGGAGCACCTCCTGTGAAATGCTGAATGCCCTTATCTCCCATTAATTTCAGTGGTAGCTGGGGGCACTCTGAACCAAACAGGGTTGTGCCCTTAAATAGCTGCTCCATTTCATCTCACAGGGGGCTGCTTTTCAATGGTGGATGTCATGATTCCTTTATAATTTAAGAGCCTCCTGTGCAATCCTAGCTCAGACACCAAAACTCCACTTGACTGCAAAGGGAGATTTGCCTGCACCAAGGGCCCTAAAGCACATTTCTGGTTAAGACAGTATTGTCAAAAGCAAACATTCAAAAATCACGAGTCAGACCTCCAGAAATCATGAGATTTTAAAAAGAATTATTATTGGTGGAGCCAAGCTTGAGGAATTCAGCAGGACATGCACAATTGCATACTCTGGAATATTTGGAATATTTGCACACTCTGCTGTAAGTGGCATCTCACTTCAGCATCTCAAGTAGGTGGCTCTTGGTTTGTGAGCACACCACTACTTCCCTGCTTCTCCTGCCCTCCACCCCCAATCCAAGCCCTGCTTTCTCCTTAAAATATCCTATCCCTCACATTCTCTGCCACACCCACTCCACCCACATCAGCCTCCTCCAGCCCCCAAGATTTCCCTGTCATAGCCCCACACCTAGGTTGCATCCTGCCCCCTAACTTTCCATATCTCTTGACAATTTCCTGTCCATTCCTAGCCCAGGAGCACAGGGAGCATCCATCTTCTCTGAAGACAGCTTGACTTCAATGTCATTGGAAACAATAGCAGGTAGTAGCGGACTTTGTAAGGGGAAGCAGCATTTCAAAAGCTAGCTATAGGGGAATAATAGCCATTTTGACTGAGGGAAGTCTGTGTGGCTTCAGTCCCATTTGAAAATAATGGGAAATGTTTTACTACTTTGAATGAGTACAAATGTGTGGTGTCAGTAAGTATGAGCCCATGAGAAACTTAAAATAACCCCACCAAATATCATGTGCTTTTCAATAAAATCACAAGAGTTGTGTGAATTAATAGCTCACAACCAGGTCTTAGAATCTGAAAAAGTACTGGCTCATTACAGAACATCACATGAAGTTGGAGATTTCAGTCCTTGTCTTGAAAGTACTAAGACATCTAGGTCCAGGATGATCATCCAAAGCTCTAGGACCTTGACTACCCCTAACAATTCTGCTCCTTGGTACAAAGGAATTGCTCATTGTAAGGGGTAAAGCTCATTTATATATGGGACAGGACATTCTTGGCAGCCAGTCCAAGAGTGTGGAACTCAAGGTATGTCTACATTGTGATTTAAAAAAATCCACAGCACTGAGTCTCAGAGCCCAGATCTTATGGGGCTCAGGCTGTGGGGCTATACAACTGAACACATGAGGTCTCAGAGCCTGGGCTCCAGCCTGAGTCTGAACATCTACACTGCAATTTTATAGCCCCACAGCCCGAGCCCCATGAGCCTGAGTCAGCTGCTCCATGCCAGCCACAGCCAAGCCATAGGTCTTTTATCAGAGCGTAGACGTACCTTCAGTCCTTCATGACATAAGGGCGACCACAAATCTGGCTACTTTCTGGTTCAAGTGAAAAGTGCAGTTCTTCAATCTCACTTCCACCTAACAAAAGCATAGAGCAATGCACTTTAAAACAACAAATCCTAACAAATAAAAAACACCCTATGCAAATTTTTCCCAGGGAGAGGAATGAAGAAGTAACTTTTCTTGACGGTTGTTGGTCACCTCACTTTATAGTTGAAAGGTGTTCAGATATGATGGTGATGGGTGAGGTAAAAGAAACAGAGAGAGATCCCTTGCACAAAATATTTTTCAGATTGTCAAATTTCTAATAAATAACAAGTACCTGATTTATGTTGTAATTTACAGTGTGGGTAAGTAATTAATATATTTAAGTATCTTATCATTAAAGCTAAAAAATATCCCCTACGTATACGGAGTTATTCCTGTTTAAGACCAGTTCTGTTTCCAATTGAAGCTAATAGTTATAATGAGCTATAGTTGTCTCTTCCTTCACCAAGATACCTTTTACTAGAATTGCATTATTAACACACTTTATAAACTCTCCTCCACAAATGTTTCTATTTTATATTATGGGGTGGGTTTTTTTTGTATTTTTGTTTTTTGTTTTTTTTAAAGTGAATCTCGTGCTCATGGAAAATGCCACACTGGTAACCCTGTGAAATCATATATTTATCCACAGAAGAGGAGCAACATGGGCAGCAAGCAGTAGGGAAAGCTTCCCCACACTGATTCAATCACAGAAGAGCTTGAGAGGAAGTTCTGTTATTTACATTTATTTAACCATATTCTGGTACCAGTAACAAGGAATCCAGTAAGTATTAATTATGGTGATGTTTTAGCAATAAGGATAACTATCCACTAGAAACTGAAAAGCTATTGTTTACTTATTCTATATAGGCTACCAAAAAAAAAAAGCCATCGTGTGGTGACAAATCAATCCACTAGTGGCCTGGACCAAATTTATACTGAGGTCTTAGAGGTAAAAATCTTCATATCCATTTATCAGTTCTTTGAACCATCCATTTCCCCTATGTTTTTTTGCTTGTAGCTCTTGTTGTGCCACAGTCTTTCATCAAACTTTCACTCTTTCTTCATGTAAGATCCCAGTCTGTGATGGATAAGGGGTCAGAATCTGAACCTGGATCCCAGTTGAAATTTTGCATCTTGCATGTAGTTCTCCAATAGGCTAAAGCAAAACCAGTGAAGCAAATGACTTCAAATGGTGGAATGATCAAAACTCAAATCCAAATCTGAATTTTTGCTCAACCCCTTCTATGCGAACTATATAATTCCTATGTACAAACACATCTTGAAATGAATATGTTAAAGCTGGATATTGAGCCAGAGATTAACAAATAGTGGAATAACATCAGAGTAGTTGTACTTTCTGTTGAGTAAAAATGCTTAGAATAATTTATTATTGTATGAAGTAATGCAGCTGTCTTACTTAAAATATTCCTCTCTTCCACACGGAGAGAGAAATGACCACAAGAAGTGTTCCAGAAAGCCATTTCATTCCCATGTGGCTTGTTTTGCTAAATCGGTTGCAATAAAGATCTGCTCCAAATGGTGCATTTTTTTCTTGCCTCAACTTATTTTGTACTTGTTCAGTAAAATAGATTCCAAAAAAGACAGGATTGTAATTTTTAATAAGATTTGTTAAAAATAGCAGAGCTGTGGTCAGAGAAATGACCGCAGGAAGTGATTTGTTTCCTGTGATCATTCCTCCTCCTCTACCACTGGCCTTTTTTAGAATATCAGCAGAAGAGAAAATGTTTCATTAACCTGATTTAAAATGAATCATAAATAGCAAAATATACAATTAATTAGCTATCAATCTAATAGATTGCAAGTGAGTTTGAGTCTTTGGAGGGTTGGGGGTTTAAAAGTGGGAGAATTGTCAGAGCGGCGAGTGCTCTCATAGATAACAATGGTGTATAGGACAAGTGTCTTTCTCATGTTGATACAGGGCCAAATTCTTAGCTCAGTGCACACCCCTTTTACTGGTCTGTGTGCTGGAGAGTTCTGGGGAGGCTATCAATGGAAGGAAACACTACTCCCCAGGGTTCGTGCCCATCTGGTCCATGAGAGGGAAATGGTTTGTGAATGAATGTAGCGGTAGAACTAAGGACATCACCTCTTGCTTCCACTACGAGCCTATCGCCTATCTCTCACGACAGGGTGACACCAAGAGACTCCATGGAGCACAGGGTTTGCAGACCTCCTGAGATGGTACTCTGCCTTCCCCCATTTCTGACCTCCCAGCAGACCCAGTATGATACATGCCAGAGCAGGTATTAAAGTTGCCACTGTGATGACTATAACAGTTTTGGGTTCATACAAGTACTTGTACATTACATCTTCTTAACTACAGTTTAACAGATATGTCTCCTCCTGGAATTTTGCTAGTGTTTTAGAATTCCAACAAAAGTGATCGATTTAAACAGTTGTGCACTTTTTCCTCAGCAATTCCATAAAAGGAGAAAGATTAACAAGGCACCACAGGGTATTGTGATAGTATAACTAGAGTGACAAAACAGAGCTTCACTAAGCCCTGGTCTACACTAGGACTTTAGGTTGAATTTAGCAGTGTTAAATCGATGTAAACCTGCACCCGTCCACATGATGAAGCCCTTTATTTCGACTTAAAGGGCTCTTAAAATCGATTTCCTTACTCCACCCCTGACAAGTGGATTAGCGCTTAAATCGGGCTTGCCGGGTCGAATTTGGGGTACTGTGGACACAATTCGACGGTATTGGCCTCCGGGAGCTATCCCAGAGTGCTCCATTGTGACTGCTCTGGACAGCACACTCAACTCAGATGCACTGGCCAGGTAGACAGGAAAAGAACTGTGAACTTTTTAATCTCATTTCCTGTTTGGCCAGCGTGGCAAGCTGCAGGTGACCATGCAGAACTCATCAGCAGAGGTGACCATGATGGAGTCCCAGAATCGCAAAAGAGCTCCAGCATGGACTGAACGGGAGGAATGGGATCTGATCGCTGTATGGGGAGAGGAATCCGTGCTATCAGAACTCCGTTCCAGTTTTCGAAATGCCAAAACCTCTGTCAAAATCTCCCAGGGCACGAAGGACAGAGGCCATAACAGGGACCCAAAGCAGTGCCGCGTGAAACTTAAGGAGCTGAGGCAAGCCTACCAGAAAACCAGAGGGGCGAATGGCCGCTCTGGGTCAGAGCCCCAAACATGCAGCTTCTATGATGAGCTGCATGCCATTTTAGGGGGTTCAGCCACCACTACCCCAGCCGTGTTGTTTGACTCCTTCAATGGAGATGGAGGCAACACGGAAGCAGGTTTTGAGGACGAAGAAGATGATGATGAGGAGGAGGTTGTAGCTAGCTCACAGCAAGCAAGTGGAGAAACCGGTTTTCCCGACAGCCAGGAACTGTTTCTCACCCTGGACCTAGAGCCAGTACCCCCCGAACCCACCCCAGGCTGCCTCCTGGACCCGGCAGGCGGAGAAGGGCCCTCCGGTGAGTGTACCTTTTAAAATATTATACATGGTTTAAAAGCAAGCATGTGAAAGGATTACTTTGCCCTGGCATTCGCGGCTCTCCTGGATGTACTCCCAAAGCCTTTGCAAAAGGTTTCTGGGGAGGGCAGCCTTATTGCGTCCTCCATGGTAGGACACTTTACCACTCCAGGCCAGTAACACGTACTTGGGAATCCTTGTACAACAAAGCATTGCAGTGTATGTTTGCTGGCGTTCAAACAACATCCGTTCTTTATCTCTCTGTGTTATCCTCAGGAGAGTGAGATATCATTCATGGTCACCTGGTTGAAATAGGGTGCTTTTCTTCAGGGGACACTCAGAGGAGCCCGTTCCTGCTAGGCTGTTTGCCTGTGGCTGAACAGAAATGTTCCCCACTGTTAGCCACGGGGAGGGGGGAGGATTGAGGGGGTAGCCACGCGGTGGGGGGAGGCAAAATGCGACGTTGTAACAAAAGCACATGTGCTATGTATGTAATGTTAACAGCAAGGTTTACCCTGAAAGACTGTAGCCACTGTTTTATAAAATGTGTCTTTTTAAATACCGCTGTCCCTTTTTTTTTCTCCACCAGCTGCATGTGTTTCAGTGATCACAGGATCTTCTCCTTCCCAGAGGCTAGTGAAGATTAGAAAGAAAAAAAAACGCACTCGTGATGAAATGCTCTCTGAGTTCATGGTGTCCTCCCACACTGACAGAGCACAGACGAATGCGTGGAGGCAAATAATATCAGAGTGCAGGAAAGCACAAAATGACCGGGAGGAGAGGTGGCGGGCTGAAGAGAGTAAGTGGCAGGCTGAAGACAGGGCTGAAGCTCAAATGTGGCAGCAGCATGATGAGAGGAGGCAGGATTCAATGCTGAGGCTGCTGGAGGATCAAACCAGTATGCTCCAGTGTATGGTTGAGCTGCAGCAAAGGCAGCTGGAGCACAGACTGCCACTGCTGCCCCTGTGTAACCAACCGCCCTCCTCCCCAAGTTCCATAGCCTCCACACCCAGACGCCCAAGAACGCAGTGGGGGGGCCACCGGCTAACCAGCCACTCCACCACAGAGGATTGCCCTAAAAACAGAAGGCTGGCATTCAATAAATTTTAAAGTTGTAACCTTTTAAAGTGCTGTGTGGCATTTTCCTTCCCTCCTCCACCACCCCTCCTGGGCTACCTTGGTAGTCATCCCCCTATTTGTGTGATTGAATGAATAAAGAATGCATGAATGTGAAGCAACAATGACTTTATTGCCTCTGCAAGCGGTGATCGAAGGGAGGAGGGGAGGGTGGTTAGCTTACAGGGAAGTAGAGTGAACCAAGATGTGTGGGGGGTTTCATCAAGGAGAAACAAACAGAACTTTCACACCGTAGCCTGGCCAGTCATGAAACTGGTTTTCAAAGCTTCTCTGATGCGTACCGCACCCTCCTGTGCTCTTCTAACCGACCTGGTGTCTGGCTGCGCATAACCAGCAGCCAGGCGATTTGCCTCAACCTCCCACCCCGCTATAAACGTCTCCCCCTTACTCTCACAGATATTGCGGAGCACACAGCAAGCAGTAATAACAGTGGGAATATTGGTTTCGCTGAGGTCTAAGCGAGTCAGTAAACTGCGCCAGTGTGCCTTGAAACGTCCAAATGCACATTCTACCACCATTCTGCACTTGCTCAGCCTGTAGTCGAACAGCTCCTGACTACTGTCCAGGCTGCCTGTGTACGGCTTCATGAGCCATGGCATTAAGGGGTAGGCTGGTCCCCAAGGATACATATAGGCATTTCAACATCCCCAACAGTTATTTTCTGGTCTGGGAATAAAGTCCCTTCCTGCAGCTTTTGAAACAGACCAGAGTTCCTGAAGATGCGAGCATCCTGTACCTTTCCCGGCCATCCCACGTTGATGTTGGTGAAACGTCCCTTGTGATCCACCAGAGCTTGCAGCACTATTGAAGAGTACCCCTTGCGGTTTATGTACTCGGCGGCTTGGTGCTCCGGTGCCAAGATAGGGATATGGGTTCCGTCTATGGCCCCACCACAGTTAGGGAATCCCATTGCAGCAAAGCCATCCACTATGACCTGCACATTTCCCAGGGTCACTACCCTTGATATCAGCAGATCTTTGATTGCGTGGGCTACTTGCATCACAGCAGCCCCAACAGTAGATTTGCCCACTCCAAATTGATTCCCAACTGACCGGTAGCTGTCTGGCGTTGCAAGCTTCCACAGGGCTATCGCCACTCGCTTCTCAACTGTGAGGGCTGCTCTCATCTTGGTATTCATGCGCTTCAGGGCAGGGGAAAGCAAGTCACAAAGTTCCATGAAAGTGCCCTTACGCATGCGAAAGTTTCGCAGCCACTGGGAATCGTCCCAGACCCGCAACACTATGCGGTCCCACCAGTCTGTGCTTGTTTCCTGAGCCCAGAATCGGCGTTCCACAGCATGAACCTGCCCCATTAGCACCATGATGCATGCATTGGCAGGGCCCATGCTTTGAGAGAAATCTGTGTCCATGTCCTGATCACTCACGTGACCGCGCTGACGTCGCCTCCTCGCCCGGTATCACTTTGCCAGGTTCTGGTGCTGCATATACTGCTGGTAATGCGTGTGGTGTTTAATGTGCTCCTAATTGCCAAAGTGAGCTGAGCGGCCTCCATGCTTGCCTTGGTGTGGCGTCCGCACAGAAAAAAGGCGCGGAACGATTGTCTGCCGTTGCTCTGATGGAGGGAGGGGCGACTGACGACACGGCTTACAGGGTTGGCTTCAGGGAGCTAAAATCAACAAAGGGGGTGGCTTTACATCAAGGAGTATTTCAGGCAGGACTTCACAGAGGGTTCCAATAAGAAATGGTGCACCTAAGTTATTGTTCTTATTGGAACAAGGAGGTTAGCCTGGCCTCTGATTGATACATGGCTAGATTTACCTCGCTGCACCTTCTCTCTGAGTGACTGCAGTGTGACCTAGAGGAATGAGTCCCCTAGACGGGGGAGGAGGCAAATGAGTACAAAACAAATCTGGTCTGTTTCTTGTTTTGATCCACTGCATCTATCTTTTACATCTTTGGCTGGCAGCAGACGGTGCAGAAGGACTGCATGCCACCCACATCTCTTGCCTGCCCGGCAGAAGATGGTACAGTACGACTGCTAGCAATCCGTATCGCCTGCCTGCTCACCATAAGACGGTTCAATAGGACTGACTGCAGGACTAAAGAGAATGACCTGGTCAAGTCACTCCAAATTTAGTCCCTGCGCCCATGTCTGCCCAGGCGCTCCCAGCCAACGTGGCCAGGAGCACCTCGGACACGACGAGGACGGCTACCAGTCATACTGCACCGTCTGCTGCCAGAAGGCAATGGGTTGCTGCTACTGTGTAGCAATGCCATACCGCGTCTGCCAGCACCCAGGAGACATACGGTGATAGTTACCTGAGTGGGCTCCATGCTTGCCGTGGTATGGCGTCTGCACAGGTAACTCAGGAAAAAAGGCGCGAAACGAGTGTCTGCCCTTGCTTTCACGGAGGGAGGGAGGGAACGGGGGCCTGACAATATGTACCCAGAACCACCCGCGACAATGTTTTAGCCCCATCAGGCATTGGGATCTCAACCCAGAATTCCAATGGGCAGCGGAGACTGCGGGAACTGTGGGATAGCTATCCACAGTGCAACGCTTCGGAAGTCGACTCTAGTCTCGGTACTGTGGAAGCACTCCGCCGAGTTAATGCACTTAATGCACTTAGAACATTTTCTGTAGGGACACACACACTCGAATATATAAAACCGATTTCTAAAAAAACCACTTCTATAAATTCGACCTAATTTCGTAGTGTAGACATACCCTAAAAGTAGTCAGAATTGCAAGGTTTGTCCAAATAAGCCAGGAAGCCTCTTCTTCTGAGTTCCATAAACTGTCATGTTCATTTCAAAAGGACTTTTCTGCTGGATGGGTTGGATAGTTATTTCATTTTGACTCCATCTCCAGTAATAATAGTTACAACTGGAATGAAACTCTACGTGATGTTCTTTCTTCTTGGTCTAGGATGGATTAGTAGTTCGGCCAAGGTCTGACCGTCCATTGGCACCAGAAATGAAGCATTGGTAGATACTCGGATAGCATAGTCACACTGGGAGCATTGTTATTGTACTAGTTTCAGGTGTCTATTTTCTCGTCTGTGCTTACTCAGGGCAACAGTTTAATTGGAATTCCTTGCACAGCTTAAACGGAAAGAGTCCTACCCTTATGCCTGAAGAGTCTGTCAGTTGGGTCTTTCCTTGCCAGCCTGCCTTTCCTACTTTTAAGGAGGTAAATTGATGGAAGCATTTTATATAAGAATGATTTTTAGAAAAAAAAGATACTATATAGACATCATTAAGGAAGCTATTCTCTCAAAATGGATCTGAACCAAAACCCATGAAGAACCCTAAGTCATGTTGTTCAAATACTTACTTGCAGGAGTAAATCATTCAATGCAAAAGTTAGAGAAACGGGCCCTAATGGATCTAATGGACCTTTATCTTCATTTTCTGTTGCCGTGGATTCTCCTAGAAAAGACTGAAGTGTGCACAGAAAGATATAACCTTAAACATTTTCTCCTGCAAATCTAATGTTTTATATTTTGCTATTGATGAAGAATTTAAATAGGTAATCGCTGAAAATATCTTGAAGAATGGCATTTTTTTTTCCTGAAAGTCGTTGTCTTAAATGTTTCTATTTATACTAGAGAGGAACGAGGACCATTCAGACCAAATAAAATGACACATTATATTATTTCATATATATTTCATATTGTATATTTCATATGCATCATAACGTTTCTAAATTGTTGTTGTTTATCACTGAAACTGAGTTCATAATAGACAAGAAATGCCTAAAATATCAAATTTATTAAAGTTAATGGGTGGAGAGGAGGGTGGGTGGCTGCGTGTGTGCATGCTCCTCTGATTCTCCTATTCTAGACATTTCAAAGACAAGTATATACACACAATCTCAGGACATGATTCTACAAACATTTAGGCATATGCTTAACTTTATTCACCTGAGTAGTCCCACTGAAGATCTAAAATGTGATTTGCTAACACTGAGTGAGGAAATGTTTTGGGGGTTATGTAAGTACAGTTCAGAACATGAATAAATAGGTGCTAGATGGGGACCCAGGGTTCAACCCTTATCCCGTGGAATTCTATTTATATTTGCTATTGAATTAAAAGGGATCAGGATCAGGCTCTTATTCTTCCGTCTCACATGTTGTATTTTTAAGTATTTCCTTTACAATGCAACCATCTGCTAAATTTAGACTACCTTTTTTTTAGAATTTATTTTATGAACATACAAAAAAAATCACATTGTAAAAAAGCATGCAGGCTTTTGAAATGCCATTTGTGAAATGTTCCAGCTATGTACAACTGGCTCAGTTACTACAGTTCACAATTGCCATCTGAACATCTATTTTTCCAAGCATTTAAGAAAAGTGATGTGTACATTTTTCATGTGTAATTAGGCAGTGTAATGTGATCCCTTGCTGCAGTCAAGCTGCCATGTGCCGTAGCCTCACTGAATAGCTTCCAGATTTCAACCCAATCTCTTCTGTCTAGACTCTACGTTGCTATTTTTTTCCCCCCTAGCTTAAAACAGACTCCAATATGAAATGCCAAAAACAGAAGTTTTTGTCCCTCTTTCTCATAAAGATGTGGGACAGATCTCTCAGGCCCAGACAAGAGCTGGGTCCCAGACTTTCATAAGACACGTGTCATCTGAAACTGACATTAAAGATTGCGCAGGCATGTCAGCAGGTCATGCACACAAAAAAATGCTTAAAATATGGTTTTCATTAAGAAAATGAGTATTTTTAGAGAGGTGTGGTTCAGTTCAGATGAAAAAGAAAGAAAAAAATTAAAGCAGCACAAGAGATCCCAAACTGCAACATTATTTATATTGCTGTTGAAATGTGGTATATTCTCTTTATAAAGTTTTTTGGGGGAGTGAAATAATATACACCAGGCCAGAACCAGGTGCATATCCTGTAGAGAGTGTTTATAATCAGAGTTAAAGGATAGCAGATTTATACGAGAACAAATTCTCTAAGAGAACCTTGCAGCTTAAGTACATTGTCTTAATCCTGAGAAATTGTACATTATGTCCTCAATAAAGAGTTCTTTACCAAAAAGAAAATAAAGTTAAAATGATTTCACAGATAATTTCA